CGTATTTTTGTTGTTGTTTGTTCTGTATGCGAGTGAGTAAGTAGTTAACATGAACGTAATGAGTTAAAATAGATTTTTTTTAAACCATCTAACCTCGAATTATAATTACCAACTGAACACGAAAAAAGATCCAGCAGAAATTATAGTTTTCAGACTAAAAAAGTTTAAAAAAATTAAAAGCCGTTCTTGATGCAAATGAAGTAAAAAACGTGTAGTATATTACTTATCGTTTTCCCTCCTCGAAGAAAAATCCATTTTTGACCTCTGCAGATGATACCGTAAGATGAACCATATGTTAATCAAGTTTAATTGCAATATATTGCGTGTGCGGTCGCTAATAGGTCTATGGGTAACTCAATTACAGGCGGTTAGGGATGATTGTGTTGCTAACTACAGACGCCTTTCAGATTGCTCCAAGTCTAGACGTAATAACCATCCGGAATGGATTCACCAGTCGTTAATTCAAATTGCAAGTTTCGAAATTATATTAATCGTGAAATGGTTCGGACAAAATACTCTTCCAAGGCTCGCTGAAGAAAAAGTGCACTCGAAACTATAAATGTCAAGGTGTTAAATATATAATCGTTATTGTGCTGTATGAGGGAGGCATTTTGATATCTATATGGTAAATCTGGCGACGGAGGAAAAATGTTTATAAAACGAAGTAATTAGTGGCCAATCAGCCAAATCCGTAGAAAGAGTAAAAGTCTCAGACAATCATGAAACTACGTTATTAAATGAAAAAAACAACCTTCACAAATATTTAGTAAAAGAATTTGATTTAAATGTAATTTTAATTTTAATTGAACTTAAAAGACATGAATGTCACTCTTTTAAAATTGTTTCAAAACCGTTACTATTCACTACTATTCTGCTTCTATTCCATCATTCAAACACACATATAATATTTTGATGTTATGCATCAAATGAATATTTTAGCACAATTCAGCTTTTCAATAGGAAGTTCTGGCAAATAACCGAAGACCGGCTTTCATAGGACTTCGTAAAACGAATGTGGTAATAAGCGAGAAAGAAAAAACAAACAAACAAAAATTAATAAAATTTTCTGAAATTTCTCCATGTACAAATTAAAATACGGAATACCGGTCGTATCCGTACATACCCTTTTAATTGATTGTAATAAATTTATGTCGACCATACTAAAATCTTACGTTTTGCTCACTAAAATAAATATTGTCATCTTCAGTCGATTTTGACACTTTACCAGATACGATTAAATATCATGTACAAACCAAATATTTAATCTTTTGAGCCGCATTCGAACCTGGTATACTTACAAATGAGCTTTTTTCTTAAACACCAGCACACCGAGATTCATATAACCTCGTAGTTGAAATACGCTCGCAAAAAATAAAAATAAAAAGAAGTATCTTTTGAGTCATTTAAGAAATAACGGGGTTAAATTAAGACAAATTTAAAAATATTCCTAGATAAATATGTAAACAAAATACCTTTCAACAGATTGTTCATATATAGTTAAAGCAAAACGAGTAAGATTTACAACAAACCAAAATTTATAATCATTTAAATCATTACATTTTTTCTGTTGGAAGAAATACAATAGACAGGTCTTGAGCTGAGAATCACTCAGTATTGTACACTCCGAAGTATGCCTAAGCCCTCACTTCTCACTCGTCATTAATCAGAATGAGATCACGGGGTTAAAATCTAAAATTTAAATGTACTCGCTATTAAATAATACTTCCAATTATGGCATTTTTCTTTAAACTAACATGAACCCTTATTTTTGTTTTCACAGAACTTAATCTCAAAAAGGAAGCAAAGTCTGGAGGTTCAATAATATTTCAGACTGCCATTAATACATAATGTTATTGAGCGTTGTTCTACTCTTCTTACAAGGGGAATCTATGAACAAGGAATAACCGGTGTTGTTTAAACTTCATTTTATGAAACAAGGTCGAAAACGGAAAAATCATAAATGTGTCCGAGCTTCTTGCCATTGGACACTAAGAGCTGGGACATTTTTGAAAATTAATTTATATAATATTAATTAATAACAATTGATTATCTGGGAATGATGGATGCAGCAACAGCTAACGCGTTGACAAGGGACTTTACTGGTAAAGATCCCGGATTCGAATCCTATATTCGAAACCGACAGACTTACAAAAAAAATTTTTTCAAAAACATCGATTTTTCAAAAATGGGCTATGCTGTTGCCAACCCTCGTAAAAAAATTATATATGATTTTTGCCTTTCTGTGGCTTATTATATAAGAGTAGATTTTTTTAAAAGAAATTATATAATATTCATATAAAACGTAGCAAAAACCGTAAGTCGCTTCTACTAAAATAGGCCTCTGGGATGATAGATATTGAAATAGCGACTTAGCGAAAAAGTTATTTTTTAGCAAGAAATAAATTTATGTCGGTTTTCACATCTGAATATCTTCTAAAATCAAAATTTTTGCAAAATCAAAAGATGTTCTCTATCTCAAACTTTTCGTCTTTCATATACCTACGCATTTTTTATCACTAAAATGGTGAATTTATAATTTTGAAACCATTTGTCCAATTCACTGGAAACTTTACAGAGCTAAAGAACCCCGTAAACTACACACAATGGAAGAAACTTCACTTCCGTATTTATGGCTTATTTCCTGTGACATAAAATCGAATTTTAGTCTACAACAGTAAATATTCAAGTTTCTAATAATTGTAATCACATTGTCTTTAAAAACATAATCAAAGCAGAAAAACGGGCATTTATATTTTGTTGTTTATTTCAAATTATTGTTAACTATTTTTATCGTTATAGTACTCAAAACTTACTTATTTTAATTTACTTATTTATTTTAATGTAAGGCAAATTAAAGAATATCGAATTAAATTAATATGAAAAATTAAATATGAATTAAATGAATTTTAATAAAACATATTTAATAATTAATTTAATTTATGTAATAATTAATAAATAATATTTAATATTTTGATCGATTAAAATTTAAGTTCATTGAATGAAGTTGATTGAAAATGATTTTCCGGTATTTTGGTGAATTTTCTTTCAAACTAAACTAGACTATAATTAAATAATATTTATTAAAACTCATGAATTTCTGATGCCGGTTTACATTTTTTTTTCTCTAATATAATTATACTATAGTATAATTCTCAGGAGTTGTGAATTTTTAAGTGGAATACCAAACCTCGGATTATGACCTTAAAAATGTCTTCTTTGTTATTAAAAATTCGTATTTCAGGGATTTACATGGTGCTTAGAACGAATATAATTGTCTTTTTCATTTCATATATATTATTTCATTTAATACAATACTGCATATTATTATATGTTCGTAGTAAAAAAGAGAAAAACAAATTAACGGATACTGATTCTCAAATATAATCGTGAAATAATTATAACAGGCGAAAGAAGAGCAGGAAACATTCTTTTAAAAAATTATGTAAATTAGTTTGTAACGCCAAGAGTGCTTAATATTTTTCGGCCAAGCACATATCTCCAAAAACATTCATTGAAATCGGTGGCCCAACGCAATTATCCCTTCCTTGTTAATTGTAATAAATGTTTTGCTATGTTATTTTACAGAGTCATTAAAAACTAATCCATACTATTTTGGTAACAAATTGCAAGTTCGATCTATAACCTCATTCAAAGAATATTTTCTTCTTGGCATAACATACTTATAACCTATCTACTTTCTCGACATGCAAACAATAATAATAATAAAGCAAATAAATTTTTGCAATAAAATAAATTCTATATTCTTATCCGTGGTACTAAACATAACTATTGATATTCTTAGAAGTAATAAATATATTTAGTAAGTCAAAGAGTTTAATTTCATTTATTAGTAGCAATTGTTTTGAACCTAAATTGAAAAGCGCATTTATCAAATTACAGATTAATTATGAAAAATTAAAAACTAGTTCAGTTATATCAGTAAAACTCATTATGGTATCCTCTATATCGTAGGTTTTTCTTTAGATCTGAATACACATAAAATTAAATTTCATAAAAAATAAATACATACAGTTTATAGATTTCTAGACTGCTCTCCAAATCTGAAAAAAAGCACATAACAAAAAATTCAAAGTTACTTTACCACTCATGGTGTCGACCTACTAGTGTCACCGCGGGTTTTTCAAAACCTACTCTACCTAGAAAAATATTTAAACAGGGTTTTTGTTAACTAATGCTCTTCCTTAAAAATTGAAAAAAATTAACTTTCCATTAGCAGATTCTTCATGCGATATTATGAAAAATGGCAAAAACTATTTCAAATCGGATCCGAAAAACTTTAGATATTGCAAAAATAACACATAAAATCAGATACTGTAAAAATCTTTGCTATTGTTTTCATAAAAAATATTATTGTTTGTTTAACACAATGTCACATACATTTACTTAAAGTTTAAAAACATTTTACATATCTAAACGCTACGACATATTTATGTATAACAAATACTTTGGTGTTTCTTATAAATTAATTTTAGAATATAAAAATAAAATCTTTAATATCTAGATTCTGTTTTTGTCAAAGTGTAAAAATATTTTATTGTATGTTCTCCCAAATTAACAACAATTTTTCAACTTCATCCTACGATAAAAATCGAAAATACAGTTAAAATGAAATTAATTGTGTGTGTTAAAAATAAATTGTATAGTGGTAATACGTGAAGTATAGTAAATGTACTTAAATCTAGATATATAAAAGAAAATATAAATTTTTGCAATATAAATTATCTAATCTTTAGGTATATCAATGTCAACCATTTTGTAAGCAAACGAATCAAAAAATTGAATCCACTCCGGTTGTAAAAAAATTCCCAGCAATTCAAAAACGTAGGACACCTTGAGAAATCGGCTGAACACCTTTTGGCTCATGCTAAAAAAGAGAGGCTGCCTGAGATCGTACTGGAGTCGAAGGGTTGAGAATGTTGCAAATAGCCCCCACCTTTCTTTCAGCAGATCATCTTTCTTTCAGCTAGTATATAAACCGGTTCACGTTCCAGGTATGCATCAGTTCCACCTACACCTACAACATGAACAGGGTGAGTTGGGGAAAACTACTGTTCTTGGATGATACCCATTAATGGGTCATATGTGGATATTAATTACAAGTGTAACTCGTTAAAAAACCTAAAAAAATAAATTCTTTAGTAATCATTTTTATTACAATTAATATTTAATTATGTATCAAAATGTTTTAGTATTTTTACGATCTATCGAAGCAATTAATTATTGATAGTGATAATCGTAGTAAATAAGATTTAAACTGTACATCCTGCAACTATTAATTAACTTTTTTCAATTTTGTAGTACATTCAATAATTTCCTTATTGAGTATATGAATTTGTATTTTTGCCTTTCCTTTAACCTAATAAATTTTCAGTACTTCATACTGTAATCGTTATGGTATAGTAATTTTTTGTTATAAGTCTCTTTTTGGTAGTTTCTTTAAAATTTGTAGTTACATGTCTTATTACGATCTAGCTATTTTTATTTCTAATGAATTTTATATTTTTTCAAATTTAAAAACCACTTTACCTATTCTTCAATTATTTAAAAATATTTATTCTAGTCCTCTCTTAAAAAGCTATATTAAATTCTTACAACACGTTCAGATAATTTGGATTAAAAAGAAATTATATTAGTTTTATTGTTGTTTATGTTGTAATAATTAATTTTTCGATTAACTAATCCATAAATTAATTTGAATGAATCAATTAATTACCATTTATTGCGAACATTTTATATACTTTTCAGAGATATCACACGATTATGGGTATATTCCACTTTTAAAAGTACACTGAAAAGCCCAAACCTTTTTTCATTATTTAAATGTAATTTGTTTATGTTTAGGTATTACTTGTAGCTTGTGCTTTCGGGCTAGTACTGGCAGAACCCCCAGTCAATACATACTTGCCCGCAGCCCCAGGATCTACAGCACTTGCTCGTCAACAGGGTTCTTCTCCTGGTGGTAGGTCCGGATCTCCTTCGACACAGTACGGCGCACCTTCTGCAAACGCCAATTTTGGCGCTCCGTCATCTCAGTACGGAGTCCCCTCGGCTAACACGGGATTCGGTGGTTCTTTTCCCAGCCAACCCGCCTTCGGATCTCGATCAGGATCTCCTTCAACCGAATACGGAACTCCTTCCGCATTCGGTGCTTCTGCTAGGACACCATCAGCTCAATACGGCGTACCTTCTGATCACTCCGGATTTGGAACGCCTTCCGGCCAATACGGTGCACCCTCTGGTCATTTAGCTGGACAGTCAGGCCGTTCCGGATTTGGAACACCTTCAACCCAATACGGAGCACCATCGGCTCAATTAGGTCCGCAATCTGCCCGTTCTGGATTCGGAACCCCGTCTACGCAATACGGAGCACCCTCTGGTCAATTAGCTGGACTGTCAGGCCGTTCCGGATTTGGAACACCTTCAGCCCAATACGGAGCACCATCGGCTCAATTAGGTCCACAATCTGCCCGTTCTGGATTCGGAACCCCTTCTACTCAATACGGAGCACCCACTGGTCAATTCAATGGGCAGCCTGAACGTTTCGGATTTGGTACTCCTTCTACCCAATACGGAGCACCCGCTGGTCAAGGCCTGCAATCTGCCCGTTCTGGATTCGGAACTCCTTCAACTCAATACGGTGCACCCTCTGGACAAGGCCCTCAATCTGCTCGTTCTGGATTCGGAACTCCTTCAACTCAATACGGAGCACCCGCCGGCCAATTGGGCTTGCAATCTGGCCGTTCTGGATTTGGAACTCCATCTGCCCAATACGGTGCACCTTCAGGAACAGGACTTTTCAGACAAACCCCTAGCTCTCAGTACGGAGTTCCCGGTGCAGGAGCAGTAACCCCCTCTTCCCGTGCAGGTCGTCCCGGTTCTCGTGCTGGCTCTCCTTCTCCCCAATACGGTGTTCCTGGTGTCGGATTCGGTGCTGGCTCTTCATCTCCTTCTGCCCAATACCCCGGAAATTTCGGCTCCACTTACGACGATGCCAGCAACGACGCCGTAGTCGTTAATGCAGCGAGAGGATCTCAGGGATCGTACCCTACGTCGGGAAGATCTGGTCTTCCAAGGGACGGTTTCCAGGGCGGAAATGATTACGCCAGAGGAAGCCAAGGCTACTCAGGAGTCGAAGACGAAAACTCGGTACGCTAAATCAAACTAAAAATCAAAGACCAACGTCTAACGATTTTTTTTCCTCAGGAACCTGCCAAGTATGACTTCAAATATGACGTAGCGGAAGACGCCGTCGAGTTCGGCCACGAAGAACAGAGAGACGGGGAAAACGCGAGCGGCTCCTACTACGTTTTGCTGCCCGACGGCCGTCGCCAGGTCGTCCACTACACGGCCGACGTCGAAGGATTCCACCCTCAAGTTTCCTACGAAGGAACCGCATCTGACGGTCTCGGAGGTTTTGGCGCTGGTGCTTACAGCGGAGCCGATAACGACCTTTCCGGTGGATACGCAAATGGGCAACAAGCAGGTGGAAGGACCGGCAACCAGGGATATCAATCTGGAACGGGATCTCGTTCTGGGCCCTACTAAATGACATCTTACATATTGTATTCCTTAAAGTTACCTATAAATATAATTTATCAATTTATTAACCACTTTACTTTCTATTTATAACCCAATATTTTAAGACATTTATTGTATTATATAGGAAAACATTTCTTTTTTTAGAATAACATCATAAAAGAAAATCTTCCTTCTGGCAAGATAGCGTGCCCTTAACGTTAAAAATTCGGCAGCACAGCGATGTAATATTGCCCCAAGCGCCGAAAAAAAAAGAACGAAAGTTTACATTTCCATGATGCCAATCATCGTCCCGATAATGTCGGCAAAATCAATAACTATAATAAACAAATATCTACATTTAACAAGTCTGCTCATAGTTAAGTCCAGACTGCAAAGTTCATCTTTTCGCCTAACTGCCGTGATCTTAATATAAGCACACATTTTCCAATGCTCTAAGGCAGGCAATATGGTCGTATAAATTAAAAAGCAAAAGTTGAATCGAAATAGTTTTCATATTTTGTTCAATAAATAGCACTTTTTTTTCAAAATACTAATAAAAATTAAGGGTAATTTGCTATGGGATGCAAAAGGAATTGTTTGAAAATGGACTGTAAATGGAATATAACGTCAAACAACCGGTGTTCCAATTCTCTTCGTCAAGACAATTTTTTAAACTTTTTACCGTATCACACTAAAAAACGGGTTTTCTCCAGTTTCTATTTTATCCTAATTTAAGCAAGTTTTAAAAATTAAGTTACTACTGAACGCTTTTTGTCCCACTGATAGCCCATTGATAGCCAATTTCATAAGTTCACTATACTTACACTATTCACACGATACTTTTAACTTTTTAATTAAGAATAATTTTTATAGGTTTTTCATTTTAATATGTAGTATTCGATTACTAATGTGATAAAAAGTCAGTAGATAATATTGATTAAATCTTTCTTTCGCATAAAATCTTAATGCTACCATGATACACGTTTTTTGGGTGGTTTGATCTACCAAACGTTTCACAAAAAAGGATGTACCGATCCTACCAGCTTTAACATTGAAATGTTTATTAAACGAAGCCATTTTTGTGAAACTCATCAATCTCTAGGAGGTTTCAGCACAACGTAGAGAATTTTTGAAATTCTTCGAAGATGTGCAAATGTTTAAAATTTCTAGGCTTGTCCCAGCGAAATGGCTATCATTTGGAGAAATATGTTTGCCTAGATGATTCATAGATTATACAATTTAGCCTAAATTATAGTACAGTATCTACCTAATACAAAAGAACCTGTCAGGGTTCAGAGATCTCACCGATCAGTTGGCGAAGTGTGGTATACATGTTAGGAAAGATTTTGTTAAGGATTGGCTGTTCCGTTGAAAAAGAAATAATGCTTCAAGAGTATTGGCGATAATGACGAGAAATATTTACTGTTGTAAGAGCTTTGATTCGAACTATATATGTCTAGAGACACCAAAATTTAAACAGGTCCAATTCATCATGAAGGCTATTTTCTAAGCATGAGCATTCAGGCCTTATGAGAAATTCATGTCAAACGAGGAAGAATCCCGTCCTCTACGCGTTGACCGAGTCAAAGAGGATATATTTTCAATTTACTGCCATTTGTTCCAGACTGTCTGACAGATTGAAATATTTGAAAGCAGTTCACCTCTCATGTAATAATTTTCTTCTTTTTTAAATGGGATGGACTGGAAAGCCCTTGGGTAATTCGTTGAGCGTGCTCTAGAGTTCAGGCCAAGATTTTTTTAGTATATAAACTATACTTTTTAACTTTTTAGATGGTAGTTACTTTATAATTTCAATATGATTAAATAACAAGTTTTTATTTATTTTTGTGAAAAGCTCTTTATTATAAATTAAAATTTTTATTGTTTTAAATTCTTATGTGTAATATTACTATAACTTATTTGTGATAATACTTCGAAATTTTTTTCAATAGGAAGTGATACTATTTTAATTGTCTAAAAAATAAACTTATATATATATATTTTTTATTGTGTCTGGGTTACATTAAGGATTATTATTTATATTTTCATGTTGAAATTCTTCCAAACGGTGTTTAAACCTGGACTGTTAACCTGGTAGAAGTTTTTTGATACCTACCTAATTTCTTATGTATTTGCTTGCTGTACTTAGTTCAATAAAGACTTTAAGAAGAATTTAACCTAAATTTTACAAACGACCTCAAATACCTTGAAAATGCATTGATAATGTTGGAAATATTTTTTTTTCCGCAATAAATGTTTAAAGTATAGCATCTTCTCGACGGCTTGAGTTTTTTAAACTCATTTTTCAGCATTCTATTCCATAATTTAACTGTTTAAATTATAAAAAGATGACAGAAAAACGCTGCATTGCTGAATGGACTCAGCTTTGTTCACCACACTGCATATAACAAGCATAAGGTAGGTATAAAAAAAATAAAACTCGCTTATATATGATATTTTATACAATATTTATTTTACAGATCTAGTTTTAAATTAATAATATATCGAAAATGGATAATAACTTATTCAACTCATTTAAACACGGCGATATGCAAAACCATTTCTGACATTTGAAATAGCATTTATTCACAAATCTGTTCGACCATTGAATAATGCATATTCCTTTGATTAACGATTTTTTATTGAAAGAAACCTTCGAATTTTTAAATTTCATTCTAAACAAAAAATTAACTAATTATTATTTATTGTAGTGAAAGTTCTTTCAAGTACAGTTTTCACAAAGTCATGTTTACTATCTTCGTATTTTATCAAATAAATTATCTTTTTTTTTTGTTCATTAATTGATCGCAGAATTCTAATGTGAATAATAAATAGTGGTTGATGCCTTCAAGAGTGCATCCTATACACTATATATATTAGGAAAAAAACGTATTTCTCAAACGCTTAAATTTCGAAAAGGGCTTAGGTACAATATGTTCAAATAAGACAGGTTTTCAGGAAATCAAATACAATATCGATTTTTATAATAATTTATAATAAGAATGGACTTTTTATAATGATAAGTCATTTACATAATATCACATGAACCAGTGATGCAAACTATGAAAATACAAAAATTAAATATGAACATATACACCCAATTTAACGAAAATTTGAGATAAATAATATCACACATGTGTATGTATGATTGCATATAAAAATTATGGATAAGGCGAATATTGAAAGAACCCCAACAAAAATAACAATAAATTTAAAATAAAATAATAATATAGTTGGTTTATGTTAGAAAGCATTTCCACGTGTTTTTCAATAACAAAGTGAAGACTTACTTTATCTATTTAGAGGTTTGACCAATTTTATGCGACATTTATTTGATTATTTTCAATAATTAACAAGAATTTAAATGTTAGGATGACTAATTCCAACATTAGCTAAAGCTTTAATATTTTATCAATAATTTCGCTTGTATCATTGTGACAACTTACATTCGTGGAAGGTTTATTTTTAGATTCAAGTTATTACCGTCTGGTTCTGCTGGTCTATCTATTTAGGTGTTAAACATACAATGTATTTTTTGATAGGTGGACAAAATTTGGACGAAAATTTGTGAAAGTTGGAAGTGTTTATTGATGAATATTTTATTATTACTAACACATGCAGGGTAGAAAGGAATTTCTGATTAATTAGTTCGCAAAGGGCAATTATTTTTAAATTCAGCCGTCGATTTGAATGACGATGGCTTTGTTTTGCTGTTCCTTATTACCTTCGTCCACTGTGCAAACAATGATTTATGAACGGTTTATGAAACTCAAATTTGTGTTGCACCAAATACTCATAGATTGCATTAGTTTTAGATTTATCATAATTCATTCATCCCCCCCCCAAGAATAGGACTATCAACGTTGTTATTACATAGACTTAGATTTTGAGAATGACCAAAATCTTTAAATTATAAATTAAAGCGTTCACGATTTTTTTAATTAACCTGTTTATTTAAACTAGAACAGCTAATGAGTAAAACGTAATTACGTTTACAGTTTAAACAAAATTGTAATAAAACATATATCTTCGCTATTAAATGAAAAAACTTAGGAATCATAACATCTCGGAATAACTAAGGTTTTACATTATTCGGAAACCACAAGCTTCAAAGGAATGAAAAGTTTTTGAATATTTCGATATAAATTAATAAATAAATATTCTGACATTGGCAAGCTTTTAAATATTTATTAACTTGGTCTGTGTAACGTATATATATAATTTATTTATTTATTTATGTTTTACATTGTAACATACATTTTTTAAAAACATGTATATAATGTGTCATTTAAAATATATTTTGTACTTTATTAGTATAGTTCTGTATGTTTCTTTACTAAACCCTAATATTTTTTGAGTTTTCGTACAAGTATGTAATGGTATCCATTTTATTATGCTCATTGTTACAGAACAGTAAAAATAAAACTTTTAAGTTATTAAAATAATAATGTAATTACAAATCGTGTGCCAATTTACAAAGAATAATCTTTAAAACTAGATATTTTTTAGCTGGTCTTCAATCAGTATAAAATCTTTAATTATTATAAATTTTTAAGCTCATACTATAAGTGAATCAAATATTTACCGCCCATTATCATCACTTAAATTACAAATTATTAATAATTTATGATGCACTTTGAAATGCATAGTAATGTCAAGCACCTTCAACAACTTTTTAATTTACTAGCCTGATCTGAAAACGATTTATTAGAAAATGTTTTGCGAGCTTAACTAGACAGAACCCAGCCTGAGGCGCTTCATTTGATTGACACGATCGTTTTCGTAATTGAATTATACGCATGGACGAAAAAGCATGGATTCAGCATGACGACGAGTGATCAGTTGAGGGTTTGCAAAATTACACTTTCGATTGATGTCAGCAACTCATCCTTAATGTCAACAAAACTTCAGCATTGAACCGATTCAATGATAATTCAACGGCTGAGATATTACATTCGAATTACATACAAAGCGCTTATTTAGAGAACGTGTGTTGACAAGAAGGTGGTGTTATAATTATCCAAAAGATACTTTTTGAAAGTGGTTTAGCCTTCCAAAATAATGTTTCGTAACGTAAATAAACATGTATAGATTATATATTAGATTATTATAAATATACATATATATTATTCGTTAGGTATTTTCTATATGTATCTATTCTATATATATGTATATATATANTCATTCTCTCTCTCTCTCTCTCATTCTTTTATAGTGAAAGGTGCCAAAATGTTCTCTAAACTCCCAAACTGCATGGAGAAATGTAATAAAATAGGAAGTTTTAAGAAACCCTTAAAAACTGGGCTACTTTCAAAGTATGTGTAAGATTTTTAAGATTCTTTTATTTGTATTATGTTAATTACTGTTGTTGGTTTAATATCTAAGTTTATATATATTTAATTACTGTTATAAGAGATGTAAAAACTAAGTTAATTCAATTTAAAACTATGCTTAATTTAAATCATAATACTATCGGTCATTTTAATATCCCTTAGTTAATAAGTAGTTGTAAATACCCTGTAAACGAAAGTTCACTTATTTTACTCTGTCCTGAAGAAATTTTGTTTTATTTTGAAAAGCAAAATTTAATTTTTTTAGTTATTGTTATGTTATTGTTCGTTCGCCTTCTTGTTAATATGTAAACAGATTATGTAATATTATACAACGAATTGGTTAAAGTGTAAAACCAAGGAATATTTTTGTTTTGTGCAATTCTAAAAGATTGAGTAGAGCAATTGTAAAAATAAATCTGTACTTCTCTTTAGATGTAAGAGTGGTCCTCGAGACCAAATCTTGAGAGATTAATAAATAAAGCGCAATCAATCAATCAATCTCACTCTTTCTCTCACTCTTTCTGTTTTACTCGCTCTCTCTCCCTCATTTCCTTTAGCTCACTCTTTTTTTCATAATAGATGTTTCTTTACCAATCTCTGTATATCTTTCTGTATATCCTTAAACGATTTTTAAAACAATTTTACCTTTTACGAAATTGCTTAAAAGTTTTGTCCCTCTCTTGCTTTTACCTCCGCTTTTTATCAACATCTTAATAAAGAATTTTAATTGCAACATTAACTTTTTTTTTTAATTTTTTGTACAAGCCATAAAATAAAAAGACTCCGTGTGGGAATGTATATGTTATGTATTTATTATTATTATATGTTAATAACAATTTTTGTATAATAAATTAATTCTGCGTTAAAAATTAGTAAGAAAGGTGTACTCATTGACACTTTATTACTTTAAAAAATTATGGTTTAGTACGGTATGTCTCCAATCAGACGTGAAAGTAATATCACTTGAAACTTGACGGTCAGTAGGTATATGTGAATGATGTAAACGCTCCCCCCCTCAAAAAAGTTGAATCAACTTACCAGCCTCCCAGGTATAAAACAAGACAGCTATTTCTCAGAGACCAGTTCAAAATTTGTAGCCAACATGAAGGTAACAACAAATGAACACACGGACATAACAAAAACTGAAAAGTTTGACTTTCCAGGTGTTTGTATTGCTCAGCATCGTCAGTGCTTGCGTAGCTGAATATGGAGGCAGATCGGGCGGATACGGGGGTGGCCCGGCCAGATCTCATTTCTCTGGATACCAGACGAACGGCTTTTCCGGAGTAGCAGGTAGGGCGGGAGGGTACTCTTCCGGGGCGGCCGGATATCCCTCGGAAAATGGAAATTTTCCTTCACATACAGCCGGCGGTTTCTCTTCTGCAGCGTCGGGATATCCCTTGGGAAGGGCCGGAGGTTTTACCGGCGGTCATAACGGCTATACTTCCGGAACCGCGAGCAGGACGCACGGATACAATGGTGGAAATCAATACGCAAGACAAGGAGAAAATTATGATAATTCCGTATGTTTAATGTCCAATAGTAATAGTCGAGTATACCAATATGTAAAATTTTTTTTGTTGTTAAGGAACCGGCAAGACATGAATTCAAATACGACGTCAACGACCCGCAGTACGGAGTTGAATTTGGACACCAGGAGCAGAGAGACGGAGACTATTCCCAAGGGTCCTATTACGTTCTTCTTCCTGACGGAAGGAAGCAGTTGGTTGAATATACAACTGATGTTGAAGGCTTTCACCCGAGAATTTCATACGAAAATGTCTCCGAATATTCTGCGAACTACGGACGGGCCGCGACTCATGGATTTGGAAATTACAGATCAGGAGATTATACCACAGGAGGCTACCAGTCCGGTGGCGTTGCCTCATCAAGAAACGGACTTACCGGCTACCAGACCAGAAGAAGCGGCGGCCATGCTGGATATTAGTCAGGCTGAATAGTTACCTAAGTGCATATTTATTTATCGAACCGTACATAATAAAATTTTGAAAGCTACAAAAACATAGATTTATTGACTTATTTTGGTTGACACAAAACCCAAACCTGAAAAAATAATTTCAGCGCATTAGTTTGGAACGTGATTTAACTATGTACCTTTTACCAACCCTTTGTTTCGATAGTCCTTTCGGAAGCCACTCGACCTCTCACGCCGCGTGATTTGAAATGTGCCACTTCCCATTCTTCTAGTTTGTAACACGATTGTGTAACCGATTGAAAAATTACTTATCGAATGATTTTTAATTGTCTTCGAAGGAGTTATCGCGTAAGATGTGCTTTCAAATCGACCAGGATGAATCCCGCTACAGATATTGTGTAATAAAGTAATAACCTAGATGAACCTCTCTTAGTTCGACGGCGTACTGCACCTACATAAATCACATTGCAATACGTTGATAAGTCATGACTTTGGACTTTTACTCTTTTATAAAATATTGTTCCTGTAGCAATAAAATAATAACAACACTTACACTCTGATTATTCCATCTCATGGTTAAAATTTCATGCGATCGAATGTACATCATCTTAGTTCTTACCCTTCCTTTGAGACTTGGGCCAATCAACGTTACTCAAAATATCCATTGAATGCTTAGTTTCATACATTTCTCTAATAATTGGAAATAATCTTGTTCATTCACAATTCATGTTCTTTTTGAAAAGTTTTCCATATTGTAAGCTTTTTATCTGTTCTAAACCTACAATAATTTAAAAATCTTTTCCATTCCAATTTACAACTTTTTATGCCTGCTTTATGTCATGTCCAATAATTATATTTTTAAATTTAACTTATAAGTAAGTATTGTAGAATGCGTTTCATGTTCATTCGAACAGTTATTATTTGTTCGCCGATGGCTGGAATGGAACTCTGTTCAATATATTTTTTATGTACGTTTTAAAAGTAGCTTTATTTAAAACATGGGATTATTAAGACTAATCCGCCTTATTAAAATTTGATGGTTAATCTCATACATTTCCATGTGGCGTGTTTTTTAATTAATAAAGTAGAAATATTATTTATTAACATTTACTTAGATGTTTCGTACATTAGTTCAAGTGCACACGTCATCAGGAATCTATACTATTTTAAAAAAAGTTAAGCATAAAATTGATATTTATATTTTACATCAATTTATTAACAGGTTAAATTACATATATTAGATTAATAATTTACTATATCCATATTGTCTTTTAAAAGATGTGACAATCTTGTATGTGTAATTTAGTTTATTTTTACTATATTTACATATACATTTTTGTATTATTACTAACTAATATTAAAAAATTAAAATATAAAGAAAAATTTATTTGCTGTCAGTTTGCATAGTCAAGATGGAAGAAGGTTATCTATTGTTTTTAAATGCACAGTTTTGTTAAAACGATTTTTTTTAGAAATATATTTTTTGGTGTATGGTTACTATTTTTTTATTTTATACATTTTTAATTATACTTTTAATTTACTTAATATTTTTTATCATTTTTATTTTATCTCCACATCCATGGTTTTTCCATTCCATTTTTTCTATTAGGGGATCATCAAACGAGTCTGGGTTTTTTTTTGTTGATTTTTTATGCTTTTTTTTATCCACATCTATGGTTTTTTCCAATCCACTTTTCTTTTGGGGTCATTTAAAACCTGTTGTCTACAAAAGCCTACCTTTAGGTAACATCGATGACCTTAAGTACATAATTATCGTTACAATTCGGAATATTTCGCTAAATGTAGTTAAGAAAGTAACGTCTATTGAAATTAATTTATGTTTCAATTAATTGATCTTTATGTAAGGTATTGGTTGAGTTAAAAAGTCAGTGTCACGAGCGGGATTCGTACTCATGACCCAAGTCACGATAGCTCAAGTGGTAGAGCAGCAGCGTATTTAGCCGAAGGTCGTGGGTTCGAATCCCGCTCGTGACACTGACTCTTTTATCTCAACCAATACCTTACATAAAGATTAATTGATTGAAATATGTTATTTGGTCAATCGGACCACCAAATCTAATGCATTTAATTTATATTGTTGAAAAACGATTGGAAAATCTGTTGAAAATAAAGAAAAAAAAATTCGAACATTTATTTGAACACAGCCAGTTTGTTTAGCTTTCCATGAATATCCATGAATTTTTCGCAGAAAATTGTCATTCTTCACGAAATAGGTAACTGCAATTTCGTGGATTGGTGTTTATAATAATCTGCCGACGTGAGAGTGTTAATATTCACATCTAGTTAACTTGTATAAAAATTAAGATTTCAAACCCGGACTAACGAGAAAAATTCTTAAAGATGGTCTAGTTTTGAATTCCGAAATAATAAAAAAATGAAGGGTCCCATTTAAAAAAAGTCACGTAGGGCATATTTTTGTAAAAAACAATGAATCAAAAAGTTATTTCAGAAACCGATGAAACATTTAAATAGTTTTTAGTCTAGCGGACTGCATAATGAAAAAAAAGATTTATCAAAATCGGGCCACAATTAAGGAATTTAGAGGGAGTGGTCATCACCCGTCAGTCTTCCAGAATAACCTTCCATTTCTAACAGCCCATCCAATCCAGGGTTTATAAAGCCCATTTATAACGTGCATACCTATGGCATGTTCTTCCTTTTTTTCAACCTAATCGTTTCCTTGGTTACGGAGAACTAATGTATTATTTTGTTCATACGATCATAACACACCTTCGATATCGTTATCTGTTAATGCCTCTACCGTATGTTTGATTATACAGAGCCCCTGATTATTCCTAGCTTCAAAAAGCTCTTTAGTAACCTTGATGACCAACAGCAATTATATTCCTTGGCTGCAAATAGCATATTCGTGTCATTGGTTTTTATGGTTTATATATTTTTGGTGCTATTTACTGTAGTTTTGACTTCTAACTGCTCTTCGTAACCATGGCCCCCGACCGTTTGTTAACCGTAGCTTTTGCATCTAAATTATCATTTATCTTTTTAGCTTCTTACCAAGCAATAATTGGCAGAACTTGTTTATCGATTACACTAATACGAGGCTTGTGCAACTTAGGGGGTCCATCTACTATAAATTTACTTTTACTATTAGGGAATCTATTTTTGTTAGTCTTTTTCCTATTCACATTTAAGCACAAATGGTTTCGCCAAACTGTGGAAAATGATGTCTCCAAATTTCATACAACAGTTAAAGTTTAATATGTAATTTAGAATATATTTCCGTATATAATGTAAAGCAAATCTATGATATATTTTCGTGTTCCTACCAATTTTAACATTTTTTTAAATCCATTAGATTTCGTGGTCCGATTGACCAAATAATATCTTTCAATTAATTAATCTTTATGTAAGTATTGGTTGAGATAAAAAATCAGTCTCACGAGCGGGATTCGAACCCACGACTTTCGGCTAAATACGCCGCTGCTCTACCACTTCAGCTACCGTGACTTCGATCGCCCATTTCGACTCCCCGTTTTATTCCAATTGTAAGCAAATCGTTGCTTCCTATAGAAACACTTCTATTAACGATTGTACTACATTATTGTACGATTCACAGGTGTGATTCTAGATTAACACTAACGTTTTAATTATTTTTATCAGCTTATTTTTAATTATATACTTAAGCATACACAATTTTTTCGAAATGAATCGTTAATAAAAGTGTTCCTATATGAATCAAGCTCCCCATCATCTTATCGTCCTATTAGTTTGTTACTCGTTCCTTCTAAATTATTGGAAAAATTAATTTACAAAAGAATTATCTCTATTGCTACTTCGAACAACATCTTACCAGACCATCAATTTGGCTTTCGAACCCATCATTCCACCATTCATCAACTTCACAGAGTGACTGATTTCATTACTTCGTGTCTCGAGCAGAAACTACGCGACTGGAGTGTTTCTAGATGTTTCTCAGGCCTTCGACAAAGTATGGCATGAGGGATTATTATACAAATTAAATTTGTTTTTACCCCAGGCCTATTATTTGATTATACAATCATACCTTAAAGAGAGATTTTTCGCAGTAAACCAGGATGCGGGGACTTCTGGGATGGAAGAAGTGTGCCACAAGGGTCAATACTCGCTCCGCTGTTGTACACAATTTTTACTTCTGATATGCCCACAAATGAGAATACACTCACCGCCACATACGCAGATGACACCGCCATATTAACAAGCCATCTCTCTTCTACACAAGCTTCACTCATGTTACAAAACCACATATCAACAATTGAAAATGGAACAATCTTTGGAAAATGAAGTTTAATCCCTCAAAGTCACAACATATCACCTTTACACTCCGTCGTGAGACTTGTCCTAGCATATACTTACATAATGAACCTGTTCCTCAATCCGACAAAGTTAACTATTTAGGACTTACATTTGATAGAAACGATTAAAAAAACAGACACTGAACAAACGATTTAAAAATTTTTATTGCCTACTCAACCGACAATCAAAATTACCATTAAAATCAAAACTTTCGACATACACATACCTACTCAAACTTATTTGGATGTACGGGTGCCAAGAATATGGATCGGCGAAGTATTCTAATATTCAAAGATTACAAAGTTTTCAATCCAAAATTTTAAGACTAATTGTTTCTGCCCCTTTTTATGTAAACAATAATACACTTCACAGAGATCTTCAAATCCCAACAGTTTTTTCATCCATTAAAACATAATACATACGTTTTCATAGTAAATTACAAAATCACACCAACACACAAATACGATTACTCCATTCCCCACAATTACCACGTAAACGTCTGAAAAGAATATGGATAAGAGACCTCTTAAATGATTAATATCATTTCATTACCAATGGGTAGCTTTCTGTGTAACGCCCATAATGCTAAACACATAATCTGAAATCCAATCTGCTGGTTGTATATAATACATGTACAGTTGTAGATATAAATAAATGAAGTTAAAAAAAATATGAAGGCACGTTTTGCTTTAATTGGAATAAAATGGGGAGTCAAAATGGGAAGTTTGTGGCATGGGCGATCGAAGTCACGGTAGCTCAAGTGGTACTAAACGGCGTATTTAGCCGAAAGTCGTGGGTTCGAATCCCGCCTGTGACAGAAATTTTTCATTTCGAAAAAAATTGCGTATACTTAAATGAGTCATTATAAATTAGATTACTTCAAAGCATTGTCAGCATGATGTTACATAAATACTAATAAAACATGATGTTGTTAATAATGTTATACAAAGTGTCATAATAAATAAGTATAAATTTAAATTACATTTATCTACATTTTATACATTTTCTTTTGCTATCGCTGACCGTAAAAACAACTTCAGATCAATAAAACAAAAAGATGATAACTGTTAAATAACAATGTGAACTGATGCAAGAACATAATTACTTATTAGCTCCAGCATATTGTGTATGGTTCTTTTGTAGATTTGGGTTATAGAAGGACAATAAATCATACGTGGTTTCGATGTCAAAGTTTACGTCTGTCCTTGGATGATCCTTACAACTTCTTTTTACCGTCACTTATACATTTAATCTTCTGATATCGCGTAGGACGTACACACAACGGAGAGTTAGTCAAACGAGGTTACCTGGCCGTCACGCAGTTGTTGCTCCATAACGCCAGCTGCCATCACCAGAACGCTCTGTCAACCCGACTCAGCAAAAATCCTTAAACAATTTGGGTATCTCGAAAATGGAAAAGAAACCCCACCAAGATGGTCACAATCGATTTATCACTTTTTTATCATTTTACAATATTTGAGAATTTTTTGAAATCGTTATTTCTGAATGTGTGGGCGGTTAGTTAACTCAGTTCAAACATTACAGAAATCTTTCCTATGAAAATTTTACAAGTGTTATACAATTTTGCCTTCAATAAGAGTTAGATCCATAGTTCCAGAATACAACTGTTTCAAATTATTATTATTATTATTATTTAGTTCACATTACTTATTTCAAGTGTACATGCAACGAACGGCTTGATTATTTACAAGACGATAGTAAGATAATGCATCTATTGGATAATTTGTGTCAAATAAGAATAAATTGTCAATACTGACAATGATCCCATGAATTCGTCGGAAAGTAGATAAATTATATCGTTGATGATGAGGAATGTCTCCAATGATAAACATTGTAGTGATAAACTATTATTTGTATTGCAGCCGGAGATGGTTTCTCTTTTCACTCTTGATTGGTTGAAATTGGCCGGTTAAAAAACAGATTGAGACCCATGATTTGAAGAGAAGATGACCACATAAGGCATAATAAAAACAAAAAAGAAAATATCAACTATCTGAAGAAGAATAAAGCATGGTTAATTTGAAAATGATAAATAATAGTGGAAACTAAAAAATCAATACATAAAAAGTTGGAATATAAACTCGCTGAGCCTGGGTGTGCTTTGGATTAATAAATATATAATTATTAAATTAAATACTTTTAACATGAAATAACATATACTAAACACAAATTTATTTGTAAAAAAATGACAGACTTAACATAAACTTAATAAAAAGCTACGTAACATATTGTCAGAATAACGTAGTAGAAGAGCCATTTAGTGACAATAATCAAACTTGTCAGAACATGAAGTAACCTAGTGCATATCTGTTCGGTTCGGTTATAACAGGGCAAAAGGAACCTCACTCCAGATCCTGTTATAACAAAGCGAAGATGGCAAACAAACTTATAAGTTAAATTGCATTTTTCAATTTTTATATAAGCTCAACTCTGCCCATACATATTACACATATGCACATATGAACCAAATTTAACTTATAACTTATCACTTACTTCCTTTTTGAGTTTTTGACAGTATAGTGTCTGATTATCTGTCGAAAAAATTTTCAAATAGATTAACAAGTTGAGAATTAAGGTAAATACCAGTAAAACGGAAGCTATTTTGTTTTTCAAGTGTAGATCCACACTATACCCATTATGAGAGGGTTGGTGAGGAGGTCACCCCATGATCGAATAGGATTAAATACCTTGGTGTTGATGTGGAAAACGAACGTTTTTTTGTCTCCAACACTCTCGACCAAGGTATGGTATTGAAGAACAAAAAAAATTTAGTCGCTACTGCCAAGCTTTCCACCTATTTTAAGGTCATCATCAGGGCAAAACAAACTTAAATATGTCTACAGATTGGCATATTCAAATTTTCTACAGGCGATATCGAATTTCCCTGAAGATCGATTCAGTGCAAAATTGAGAAGGACTGTAACGGTATTGACAGTATTTTTTAGTACGGAAAACATAATTTTTATTGCCATGAAAAAAATGCTCAGCTGCTCTAGCAGCAATGAACACCTTTTTCCCCATATTTAACCAAATATCCCATTTAAGTACAAAAAACTCATTTGTAAGGCTGGTACTATCTATCCACTTGTACGGTCAAATACCATTTCAGGTCAAAAGAAGTCAGCCTCTTTACGAATTAACGCACCGCTATTCTACAATGGTCTATTTTACAATCTACATTATTAACCAAAGCATTTCATTAAGTTTAACGCTTTTTATTAGATTCCTAAGCTTTGAAAATGGCTCTCGTGTGTACTCTTCCAACCTTTGCTTTTCCACTCCTAGGAGTAAAAAATCTCAACTTGCAATAAACTTTTACACCGGCCGAGGACGTTCCGCTGTCCTTCTTCGTGATAAATGCTGCTCCGAGCTAGTCGTATGCCTCCGGACACTGCAGTTTCCAGTTAGCATCCTGCTATCATTCTAGTCCTAGGTTTAGTAGTTCAAATACGGGCGGTTATAGTTATAATAAGCTTGAAATTGTCAAAAATAAAGCTTTAAGGATAGTACGACACATACAGAGATAGAAAAGTTTAGACTACACGCACGATGTAATAAATATAGATAGTATTAGATGTTGATGTAGATGTAATTTTCGGGGTGTAATATACTGCGCCCTGTAAGAGCTATTGTATCCCCCGTTCTCTTCCTAAAGCACATCGATGAGTCCTATTTCATCAAGAAACTTGATTAATAGGCCCGGTTTCAGTGGTTGAAGCTCTTCTATGGTCACATTATACGTCCCAAAACACTTCCTCCTGCGGGCAAGTGTAGCTCCGCAGTTTGTTAGTAGATGTGTTGGTGTCTCCTCTGCCACTATGCAGAATCAGTATTGGATTATTCCAATCTTCTTTAAGTGTCCATTTAGCTTGCTGTTAAGAACACTTACGATGCGTAGTTTGATCCTGCCTCCCTTGACACAGTGTGTAATTTCTTTTCTTCGAAAATTTGTTAAAAGATTATTGGATTGTCTGTGGCCAATGAGTGAATTCCTTTGTTCCTTCGTGTTCTTTTTGTCGTTCTGTCTGAGATACTCATTAATAGTGTGGCCTCAGAAGAGTTAGATAGTATTGCTACTTATGTAAAAATTTGGCGAAGAAGTTTGCACACTAATCAACATTTCCACTATTTACATTTAAGAAAGAATTAATACTACAGTAGTTAATTTTGTTGCCAACGCTGATCATGGCAACTTGCTGAATCGCGTCTGACAGACGAGAGCCCCCTCGGGACACACAGACCAAAATGATCAGGAACGACCGAATTTCAGGTCATCATCGCCAGACAACATGAACAAATCTCACAATTCATTAAAGTTCGGAGTCCGATTGACCGAATAACGTTTTTCAATTATCTAATCTTTATGTAAGGAAGACACTGATAAAAAAGTCAGTGTCACGAGCGGGATTCGAACCTACGACACTCGGCTAAATACGCCGCTGCTCTACCACTTGCTATCGTGACTTCGATCCACTCGGACACTAACTTCCCATCTCAAAAAGGAGGAAAAATTCGAAAAGGTGGGGTTGAGATGGGAAGTTAGTGTCCTAGTGGATAGAAGTCACGATAGCTCAAGTGGTAGAGCGGTGTATTTAGCCGAGGGTCGTGGGTTCGAATCCCGCTCGTAAGATTCACTTGTTTATCTCAACAAATACCTTACATAAAGATTAATTAATTGAAAATCTCACAATTATTTTGTCCATCCTTACTACCATTTCCTCAAGAAGGAAAAGCGAAAAAGCTCCAATGTTGGAACACAAAACACCATTTCTTAGTATCTATCATCATCGCCATCTTACCATCTTAAAGAAATATATCAATATGTATTTCAATATTCATCTCAAATAAAAAATATTATATACTTTGGCTAACTAAATTATTTTCTAATAATAGGGTGAATGTTGTATTATTGGAAGGAAATCGCAATATCAATTGTAAAAAAAAAAGAACATGGTATAAATTTTGCATAAACAAAAATATATATATGTATTTTTAAATAATAACAATGTTATTTTTAACGATTAATAAATATTAAATAGAACATGGATCAATATCCCTGTTGCCTCGTTTCTGATTGGTATCCTGGCTGACTGGCACTTTGGAAGCCGTTTCTTCCTCCGGATTGATAACCTTGTTGATCATTCCTTCCAGAAGCGTAATTTGCAGTTCGTCCTGAAGGTCCATCAGTGTAGGAGACTTTAGGATGATAGCCGTAGCCGTCGACCGTGTATTCGACCAACTGTCTCCTGCCGTCAGGAAGAAGGACGTGGTAGGCTCCTTGTGTGTTGTCGCCGTCCCTCTGTTCCTGGTGGCCAAATTCCAAATACTCGTCTGGTACGTTTACTTCGTATTTGAACTCGTATTTTGCCGGTTCCTGAAGCAATAATAAATTGTCAAGCAACAGGCCTTAACTGTGTGTATTTAATGCCGTCATTGTTGACAAGTCGAAATAAATTCCGCGTTTCATATCGTTGCGAATTGTGACGGTGTTAAAATAAACTTTGTAAATAAATACAGACGGTCGTAAAAAATTGAATCAGATTCATAAGTTCGGTTATTTGAATTATTTTTACAAAATAAATATTTGCTAAGAATGACTCGCAAAAGCACATTAGAAGAAGTTTACGCGTCAATAAAACGTTCTGTAGCTATTCAAGCTTCATTAAATCATAAAATCATCAATTAGATCCTTTTTTCTTAAAAATAATAACAACAATAACTAAAACAATAAGAATCAAATAGTTCATAAAATTTCAGCAAATATAATAGCATCATAAAAAAAATGCTAATCAGCCTTAATTAAAAACCATTTCCAATCATAAAACTGTTGTATACCTTGCCTAATTTCAAGAATTGTACTTTTTACTTAAATTTATTTTGCTGTCTCTATCATGATTAAGATAACATTTTTTAATTGAATGGTGGGCGGTATGTTCAGGCCTGAGCAGAATCAACTAGTTTACTTTACCCTTTTCATTTCCTCAACCTGCCCTTCCATTTTCCTTCCTTGCTCAACCCTGTAAGCTCTTTTCTCCAAGCCTCGTCTTAAATCAGTTAAAGTTTTGTATACTTCACAAAGTTGATTGTCTGATAAAGAGATTTTGACATTCTGTATTAAAATGTGTAATAAAAAGCTTTCTTATTTAAATTTAAATATTAAAATGATGTACAGTGAAATTTGCAAAAAACTTTATGATGTCCCCTTCCCTGAATATTAAGTTGTAATAAGATGATTAGTTACTTTTATGTACAGTAACATCAATATTATCTTTACAATAATATCAAATCTAAAATGCTAATTTCAAAATCATTTTTTCATCATCTGTATTTTAGTAATAGTAAAATTTTACTAAAAACTAATAAGTTCAGAATTGTTTGATAGTGTCTTACGATCCCGGTCTTTTTACGCCGTTGGATATCTCCTGATTGGAAAAAAAATATAACAAAACCACGGGACGGCCAGGATAAGACAATCCCATAGCTTAGAGATGTAAACGTTCAAATTTTAATCAAAATTAAATATTTACTGAATTATCTCCACCATCTCGTCCTGCATATTGGTTTCCTCCTTTTCCTCCATATCCTCCATAGCTAGCAGGTCCCCCGAATCCATTGTTCCTAGAAGAACCTGTGTACCCCTGAGTTCCAGCAACTCCCGAATATCCTTGGCTTCTAAGGCCTACAGCGTATCCTTGGTTTCCAAAACCTCCACGGTTTCCTTGGCTTCCAAGAGTTCCTGTATACCCTTGGTTTCCGTCAGCTCCCGAGTATCCTTGATTACGAACAGCTCCTGTAAATACACGGCTCCCAAGCGTACCCGAGTAACCTTGGTTACCGACTGTTCCCGAGTATCCTTGATTACCAACAGCTCCTGTAAATGCACGGCTCCCAAGAGTGCCCGAGTATCCTTGGTTAACGGCAGCTCCTCCGGCTCTGCCAAAATAGGAAGCAGCATACTGATCCTTCGTTTGGTAGACGCCCGTTCTACCGGCGTACTGAGCCAGACAAACTCCAGCCACGCTAAGTACGATCAACACCTGAAAACCGCAAAAATCAGCATCATAAAATTACATCGTAAGAAAATTAAGCACCTTGTTCATCTTAAGTGTTCACACGACGAATGGCAACCGAAATTGCCAACGTCCGTTTTTATACCTATGCGTTGAGATGATGCCACTGAAATTGGAGGGGCGGTTTACATCACTCAATATCGTTCAAAGAGTGACCACTAACCTTAATTTCTTTCCAGAGCGCTTTTACTCCTCACTTAAAAACGCTTACTTTCATAACTAGATACGAAAAAAGAAGAAAATTGCATATTAAACAGCTATAATCTACTGTGCCTGTTATATCATCAATTTGTTTGCACTGTTACTTAGTTTGGTCAACATGCACTCAATTTCCTCCTAGTATATCTATTATTATAACGTTATTATTTATTTTAAACCAATAAACCTTAAATGTCTTTCATTTTAATCGATTGAAAGAGTAATTGAGTGTATTTAATGTTAACTAATACAAATAATGTTCAAATGTCTTTTGACAATAATGTTTGGTACAAAACTTCAATCTTGTGTAAAATATTCCTTTAATATTGAAAATCATTAACAAGAAACTAACAGTCGATATATTTTGTGTTCTGCTACTTTAAACAATTATAAAAATAATATTCCTGATAACAGTTTTTAGTGCTACTTTAAATGAAATTTATTATAAATAAATAATTGATTTAATTGTTTTACGTTTTAGTCGATGTTCTCCAGTGTAAATACTCATTAAAATTTGACATGTTATTTTGCCTCTATTTCAAATAGAACTTCTTCTAGCTTCAGTCATGAAAACCTGGTAAAGTTACGAAAGTATCTCAAGTGTGTCTTCACACCGATGATTTATAGAAGCATCATGTAATTGTTTTGTAAAATGACAAAATAGTAAGATTCGAATTAATGTTTACTCTCACCGTTTTTACGGCTATAATTTATTTGTTGGTATTTAAATATTTTACTTATTGTGAAGAAAATTCAAGTAATTTAAACACAGGATGAGTTTAACTTCTGTTTTCCTCTATTTTTTTTATTGAGGCGTTTTTGGGAAAAAGTCCCAAGACATGTAAACTGTTATTTTTTGTCTAGTTTCTCATGAGCCAAAAATTTTTGATCAAACTCTCGAGAATAGGAGAATAAGAATAGTGCCTTAACTATTGCAAATGGCAAGGTGTACTGAATTCAACGATGCAAAAGGTTTTAAAATTAGAGCGACTGTTCCCAAGTTATGCCCAAATAACTTTTCCGAAAATTGTTTTTTCGGAAAAACGAAATCTTCTTCAACTTCTTCAACCAATAACCAATTTATTTATTTGTAACCTTAATTGAGAGTAACTTAATTACTAATGGTACCATAAGTAATTGGTTTAAGCCATACAAAATAAAATTGCTCCAGGAATTGAGTGACCACGATACTGACTGTATAACTGAATTTTGTAAAAGAATGGAAAAACTATTGTTCTTTTTTGAAGATGATGTGGAATGTAATCAAATAGTCCTTTTTTGTTTTTATTTGTCTTTCCACCTTTGGTCATACACAAATAGTGAAAACACAAATAACTTCAAACAAAAATAGCTGTTGGCTTAAAACCCAGAAATAGTGTAAAAATAATTTTTCGGGTGATACTAACTCGTCTAAAAATAGGTCATACTTGGTTGTCACTCGGATACTTGTCTGGCATGTAGAGAAAAGTTGCTCGACATGTCCTGTCGCTGAATTTAAGGGTGTCGTTCCATGGATCCGTAAAGAGAGTGAGTAGAAGTGACACCCTAAAGAATTATGCTTGAATACCGCACACAATCTTTAGGTCCCTTTTTCTGATTTTTGGAGAAAACGGGATTACTTTTTTTCATATCCTACTTGGTATCGTACATTATGTAGTGTATTTTGAAAGGGAATGTATTTATTGTAGTGAATGTATAGTGCGAGAGGGTCAAAGGAGTATTGAGTCGACCCTCAATTTGATTAGTTATATAGTATTTGTAATCGAGAGGAATATCGAGTCCTTCTACACTTCATGAAAGAAGAATAATGAAAATGGAAAAGAAAAATTAATAAAAAATTAAGTACAACAGAATTTTTATGTTCAAAACAACATTGTGATGCATTAAATATTTGGTAACAGTTTTGATCTTTTCTATTTAATGTTAAATTAATGATTTTAGAAAGAATGTTTCTTTTTTAATACAAACAAAAATAGCGTGCTTAAAAGATTATTAAGACACTTCTTAGTTCAGTGCAATCAATAGATTCTTCTAACAATAAGATGTACCAGGTCATTGACTGTTGCTGCAATTCTATTCCTTCGATTTTCTTTGTATCCCAAATTATAGCTCCATTGAGAGTGGCCATTGATTGGCCATTATAGCTCTATTGAGGCCATTGCCCATTGAGATGGATGGCTGCTTATTCCTTTTCATTGCATAAACTACGTCATGAATATGCCCACATTGTGTAGATGTTGTCAGATTCCAGTGACCGGTAAATAGTTTTATCACTCCTCTGAGTGTAGCCCTCTCTAACCGCAACAGTGAATTTACCAGTTGAAGAGGGTTGTTTTAGCATAGGTTTACTGTGCCTAGCACTATTTTTCTTTTTGCCTTTTTTGGATCCATTCTGTGATGGAATTGGTTCAGGGCCTACAAATGGTCTTGCAGATTGTCCTTTGGCCAGTGTGTCAGCTTTTTCCTTACAATAGACCCTTTGTGTCCTGGCACCTAAGATATCATCAGATTATTGTTTTTCCCCATGTTTTGGAAATTTTGAAACTGACTAGTTTTAATTTTTTTTTTTTTTACTATGCAAATGCTATAATAATGCTTGTCTATCCAATCTTATAGGGATTATATTGCCAGTGTAACCTCTATTAAGATTTTCTAAAGCATAAGCTTGTATTTCTGCTTGATGGGCAGACTTGGGGATGATGCACTTCCCTAATGAGTTGATTGCTAATGTTTTGGGTTTGTAGAAAAAACAGCTGATACGGTTTTTTCAAGCTGTTAGAAGCCATCTGTATACCATATCTTTATACCTGATGCTCTCCTAAATTGAATTAGTATATCGTCCTAAATTGTAAATTGTAGTATATCGAGACTTTATAAGATGTTGTATGGAGTGTTTCCGGGATGATGCACTAATATTGTTTTCATGCACTACGTTTTTTCAAACAATCTAAACCGCTCAAAAATGAATAGGGATGCTGCCAATTTTGTAGGATTTCCTTTCCCTAGCATTTCTATTTTACTTTTATTATAAATTGCAAAAAATTGTATTAGAAATTATTATGTTTTTTCCTGAATGAAAAATTAATTTAGGGATTTTGAAAAATAACAAAATAAAAGGTTTCAATTTCATAATTTTGTTTATTGGACACAATAATTATTTTAAACAATTAATACTTTGTATATAATGCTCTCTGTTAGCTAAAACATCTGTTCTCCTGTTTGGCATACTGTTAATAAGGTTGTCACTAATTTTATAAGGAATTTCATTGACATTCCATAGTAGTTGCAGGTCAACTGGCTGCAGATGGTGTGAGAAAAGCCTTCACTACAACGCATCCCACATGTGTCAATGGAATTGAGGTCTAGAGACAATGGATGAAGGGGCAGATGGTAAATTTCCAGGTTTTCTAAACATCGATGAACAACTCTGCCTCTATGGGGTCTGGCATCAGAAAATATCTGCCAATGAAATCCCTGGTTTGAGGGCTGTATTCCTCGATAGTTTCTTGGACATAAAGGACTGCGGTGACGTTGTGTTCAACAATATCTAGTTCCGTCTCAGACCTTTACACAGCCTCCAAGCTGCACTGAAGCTGCAGGAACTGGGGCGTGGTACGCATTCCCTGTGCTCGGTAGACTCTTCCGCGCCCGCTCTCACTATACAGACAGAAACGCGACTCATCAGCAAATTTAACAACATTCCAATAGGTGTTCTCTTCTAGGCACTCTGTGTTGATACAGGCCTTGCAAAATATCTTGTACTTCAACTTAGATTTGGCGGGTACTATGGAAAGGGTTCCGTCTTGCAGCTAACACAATATCCTCCCTTAGGGTCATAATGCGCTGAGATTCACTACCAGGCCTCATATTGGCACTTCCAGCCTCTCGGAATCGGGCTAAAGCCCGGGGTCGACGCTCTGAGAGAAACCAACTGCCTCCTCTACAATATCCACTGGCCGGTGACCTCGATGGCTCCTTCTCATAAAATAATATTGCGAATTTATTAAGAATATTGCGATTGAGTGGATACTCTCAAACGACACACAAGAATGACACACGGAAAACAAACACTTTGAGCCCTGAAGATGATCTCAATAAAGATCGAAACGTTGGCACGATAAAGAACATGTTTTTCTAAAACCTACGTCACTCCAGACCGCATCTCACGATCTCCAAATAATCATTTTTGTAACTGTTTGTTTTGGTTTGTATTTTCTGTATTGTTTTATCCAACTACAAGAATATATCGGTTAATTTAATGAAAATTAATAGAATAAATTACAAATATCCTTATTCATTTTTGAGCAGTTTAGAATATACTTCGCGCATTGAATTGAATATTATAACGGTTTCTTTTAGAACCTTCAAGTGATATTCGTAATTTTCATTAATGAAAAGTGACCTCTTTTATTCATTTTGACCAAATGTATTTGGATTCCGCTTTTACATTTTTTTTAAATCTACCACCTGCGATTAATCATCTTCCTTCTAATCTAATAAGAATATTCATCCTTGATTGGAACTTGACTGATTTGTCCAGCACGTTCTCCCATTCACCTTCTGTCACCATGTAAGGCCGTCGCCTTTCTTCCCTACGAGCCGGATCTTATTTATCTTTTCTGCTCCAAATAAACGATGTTCTGAACCAATTTAATACTTCAGTGTCGGTATGAGGTCGTCCTTGCATAACACGGCGATCACGTTCGACTTTAAGGCAGAGCCGTTAAGTCAAATCGTATCATCCTAATAAGTTACCAAAGTGAAGGTGTATGGCCATTTATCTTGTTTACTTAACGCGATGGGTGAAGGCAGACGTTAATATGCGGAAAAAACAGGCCTTTTCGGGCGAGTATGTTAATTAATCATAAGTAAAAGTAACTTCTATTGATAAAAAAAAAAGAAATAAATAAATCAGTGTATGTCACTGCAATTTCGTTGCAGATCCTTGATGTCGGTTGGATTCATAAACCAAATGGTAAAGGATGATTTCTATATACGTTTTTAATATTATCTACGATAAACGTTTGTTTAAAAGTT